ATCTGTTTCCAATAAAAACAGAAATTCATATACTCCCTACACTACTACTGCCACTGCTATCTCTACTACTATTACTACCCCTTCTACTCCTACTACTATTTATATTACTAGTACTTCTATTACTACTACAACGGCAATTATTACTACAAACTATTCCAAGTACCTACTACCCATACTACCACTACTACTACACTACCACTACTACTCCCCCCACTCCTAGTCCTACTGCTTTTTCTACCAAAATAATCCCTCCACCTCTCCGCATCTCTCTCTTCCACCTCCGTTTCCTGTCCTTTAAAGTGCAGTAGCTGACAGCTCTACAGCTCTGTCAAAACACAGCCTTACCTTTAAACCACTTTTTTTTTCACTTTCCTAAACCTCTGACGCTCTTCCACACAAACATTCTCACACACCACCCATTGTTTTGTATGGATTCTACTAAAGCAAAAACTATACAGCTAACACAGCCCTGTATGCACTACTACTACTACTACTACTACTGCTGCTACTACTACTACTACTACTACTAAAAGAACAACTGTGTACATCAGTCATTCTTGTAAAATCCATATATCATTCATTCATTTTGTTCAGTTCATTTTTCAAAATAAAACCAAAAATAAGCAAATGAAAAAATAACTGTTTTCTTCATTATTTGTCTCCAAAACCCAAATGAAAAAACGGATAACAATTTGTTTAATTTTTTGATTTTGTGTTTAAATGAATAATGGAAAAAATGGATAATGGCCGTTTCCTGTTTCCGTGACTTAAACTACGATGCTGAACTGATCCAGGACTGAACCAGGACTGAACCAGGACTGAACCAGGACTGAACCAGGACTAAAACAGGAAACTAAACCAGGTCTCAGGACTAAAACCAGGTCTCAGTCCTGGTCTCAGTCCTGGTCTCAGTCCAGTCTGGTCACGGTCTGAGTGCCAGTCTCAGTCCTGGTCTGGTCCCAGTCTCAGTCCTGGTTTCCTGAACACCCGACAGTGTAGGGGGGCATCATTATTTGTTTTTTTCCCTTATTAATTTAAACACAAAATAAAAAAATAAAAAAGCAAATCGTTATCCGTTTTTTACATTTTTTTTATTTTGGTTTTGGAGACAAATATGAAGAAAACAGTTGTTTTTTTATTTTTGTTTTCTTGTTTTTGGTTTTATTTTGAAAAACGAATGAACAAATGATACATGGATTTTTTTTGTAACACATTAATTTCCCATTTCTACTAAAATTCACATACAAAAACAATTCACATACTTCCTGCATTCACTACTACTACTTCTACTATTAATACTACTACTAATACTAAAGAATAACAGCTGTGTATATCAGTAATTCTTGGAACTAAATAAATTTACATATTTCTATTAAAATTCAAACATAAATTTACATACTTCCTGCATTCACTACTACTACTACTACAACTACTACTACTAATATTAAATAATAACAGCCGTGTATTTCAGTAATTCTTGTACTACTACTACTACTACTACTATTATTATCAGTACTACTACCTTAACTTTAAACATTTTTTTATTTTTATGTTTTTTTCCCCTTTTTTTCTAAGCCTGTGTGATTCTAGCGAAAGTCTATGCAGTTTAAAAACACAATGGAGCACTTGCTGTATTACCACATGACATCACAAGGTGGAACAGAGTGTTTGTGATGAGGAAACACAGATCAGAAAAACAGCGTAATGAGGACCCTTAAAACAAAACTATGCAGCCAACACGGCCCCGTCTGCGCTTTTGGTACTGACCCAATTTTGGCGTAGTCGGCAGGATTACAAATGTCCCCGACCTGTTCCGCCGCACTTTTATTTGGGATTGGGAAAAGGGGTGCCGATGCGGGGCCCCGTGTAGCATATTAATAGTGTTTCTTGGCGTCTTAAAGCTCTGGCCTTGATTCGCGAGCAGCCTCTTTGCATGAGAAGGAGCGCGCTAACAAGAGTGCACAATCCGCTGAGGCCGACCCCAGACGTGAGAGCGGAATGTTAAGTTTGGAGAGGCCATTTTGGTGCACGCAATCTGGGTAACTCCTTTTAATGCGTATTCATGACTTAATAAAGCATGAACAAAGACTGAATTCATCGTGAACAAATATTATTGAGGATGACTCAGGCTTAGGAAAGTACTTTTAACCTCTTAATTACAGAGAGAGTGTTACGCTGAATCGACTTTTTGAGCTTTCCGCCATTTTATAACGTCGTTCCCTCATCGAAAACATGCCTGAAGAGGTTTTAGATGTCGTCCATGCATGTTTAAGTCATTTAGCGATCTCTCCCAGGCCCTATTCTCCCAATTCTCCACAAATATTCAAAAACATGATACAAAACTGTTCACTACAACTTCACAAACCTGACTAGACGTGCAGTAGTTTCATCAGCGGAACGCACTGTGGTTGTATCTGTAGTGCTCTGAAGGGGGAGTAGTTTTAGTATGGAGAGCAAGGGGTGGAAGGGCTCAAAATAGAACAAAACTGAGACGAATTAAACATTTTATATCTGTTGTTTTCGTCAAAACTTCCGTGTTAGCAGTTAATACTCTATAGAATTGTAATACCCCATCTTTAAGTATTTTCTAAGCTTGTTCTTTCTTAATAAACTATAAACCAATAAACTGTTTATTATTCTCTATTTAGCAGCCTTCAACCATGTTTCAACTTTTATTTGGTTAAAAATGTATGTAAAAAGTAAAAACGTGCAGGAGAAATAATTATTTCACTAATCGAAAAAATTATCGCAGACTCAGGGCCTGTTTACATGAGAATGTTTGCGGGTCAAAACGACATCGTATTTTATCAGAAATGCCTTTCGTTTAGATGGTGACGGCGTTTTTGGGGCTTAAAAACGCAAAAATCTGAAACGACCCTGCAGAATAGAAAAGTTGAATACACTCCGTCTTCACTGCCCAAGACACAAAACTCTGGTCAGATCTGCTCACATCGCGTAAAACTTTACATGACATACATCACCACCTAGTGTCACCACCGAGCCGCCTTAGATGCATACCCAATCCAATGTCAACACACTTTTGCGTCACCGTATGCACGCAGATTTCCTCCCGAAAACGCTCGTCTAAACGTGTAATAAAAAGTGAAGACGCGACGCCACTTTTTGCGTCTTCTGTTCAGACCGTCATCATATAAACGTAGCCTAATTGACAACAAAATGCTGTTTCTAGGTTTCAGATGATATCACAATATTCAGGCCAGTAATATTTAAAACAGATGAGGGTAGCTAAAATGTCTATCTATATTACTGTATTTTCCAGGCTATTAGACATGCTCTTAAGCCTCTAACCCCATCAAAAAATGACNACATTTGTGAATCACGTAACTTTTTCTTTTGAGTCGAGAAATACTTTTATGAATGTTGTTGAATATGTTTGTAAATCATGAATTATATCTGTGAATGTCGTTATATTTGTTTCTGGAGCAGGAAATGTATTTGTGAATGGCGTGATATTTATCTGATAATAAAGACACGAACCTGACTCCATAGAATTAGTTCCATGATTTTGATCTTCTTTATGATCCGTCTGCGGGACATGACCCTGTGGAAGTTGTTTTATATATTGTAAACATTTAATGGAGATTAACCATAAATCAATCCTAGAGTCTGGTTTGATTTACCAGGACAGAAATAACATTGTTTTCCTCATTAAACTTTCCAGAATTTGAAATCCTTTTCAAGAAAATGAGTTTCTTGAAGGAAAATAATTTAGTAATTTTTCTTTTACTAAACATAAAAATAGCTTTTCTTTTGTTTTCTCTCAAGCCTCTGACATTTAACACTTTAAATTTTATTGAACAAAAAATGATGTTCATTTGTTGTCAAGTGCTGAACCTGAGCACTTATAGACTTTAATGATTTATATATTTAACCCTTCTTCAGTTGAATTATCAAAAGAGGCTAAATTTAACTCCTGTTGAGTGAGAAAACACAGACATAGAAAAACACACCGAATGAAGTATTTGCTTCAGTTCACACTTCTCTTTCTTCCTGGATTTTATTGCTGTGGTGAAAGTAGTTTTGGTTTCTGTCTCCTTGTTTGTTTGTTTTTTGGCAATTTAACACACTCTTACATCACCACAGTCTGAACACTGGTGATAAAACACTGTAAATATTCTTCTGTTGGTAACAAACTACAACATGGCCTGTTCATCACTCACACTGTAGTGGACCAAACAGAAAGGCAAAGACAAGGTATAAAAATAAGTTTAAATTTAATAAAGCCAAAAAAGATATAATTTAACAAAGGCTCAAATTAGGCAAATTATTAACAAAAAAGCTGGGCCCAACTGGGCTAACTCAAAATCAAACTGAACAGAACAAAACTAACCCAACCAGACAAAGGAACAGGTTGTTTAAATACCTGAGGACCAACTAAAGCTAAACACAAGAGGGAGGAATTACACTAATTAACTAACTAAACCAATAACTTAATCAAAGTAAACAAAAAAGCAAAAATTATAATACAGAAAATAATAAGTGATAATAATGTGACCTTAACACAAACTAAACAAATTAACTTAGTAAAACAAACTAAATAGTGCTCCCCCCCTTTGCTGAGTCCTGATGGTCTCTCCCAGGGTCCTCCGTCCGGTGCTCAAAAAAACAAAAAGAACAAGTGTAAGTAAATTAGACTTATATTAACTAAAATGCGTGCACTCAAATTAGAACATAAGTCTAAATAACGGAATTAAATTATGTGTAGTGTAATTAACTTAATGTAAATAATATTGTAAATTAAATAATACTGACACTATGGAGTGGTGGTAGAGGTGTCCACCACACACACCATAAGAGAAAGTTCAACCAACCTGATCAAACTGGTTTGTGTTAGATTTGACTGTTAATCTGAAAACATTTTGTTGTTTGTCCATTGAAGCGTCACATTTCAAAATGACCATATAAGGTCAGTGCGACACACCCACTTGTACAAGTTGAAGTGTTGTATCACCAGATCCTCCAGACACGAGGAGCTGCCCAGACTGTGAATGTGAGAACAGTTGAAGTTTTCTTTTCATCAACTTTTCTACAGTTTCCTGTTTCTGCTCATCACCACTTTTGTTACACTGAACAACATTTATGTAAGTAATAAAAAATAATATTATAAAATATATTTTATGTGTTGTGATGCTATGTAAAACTATTTACATGAAATTAAAATCTTATCATTTATTTTAGCAGCTAACATGGCTAGTTCTGAAGATCTTTCTTGGGAGATGGAAGAAGTTAAAAAGGCGATGCAAAATGGAGATCTTGTTTTGGCAGCTGCCAAGGCCAAAAATGTCTTAGAAAAAAAGGAGAACATAACCATTACCATTGCAATCACAGGAGAAACTGGCTCTGGTAAATCAACATTAGTGAACGCTTTAAGAGGCGTCAGTGATGATGATGAAGCAGCAGCTCCTGTCGGTGAAGTAGAAACAACAATGGAACCAAAACAATACAGTTACCCCAACAATCCCAAAATTACAATGTGGGATCTTCCTGGAATTGGCACCAGTAAATTTCCTGCTGATCAGTATCTGAAGAAAATGGGTTTTGAAAAGTTTGATTTCTTCATTATCGTCTCTGACACTTGCTTCAGAGAAAACGACGTCAAACTTGCAAAGGAAATTCAAAAGATGAAGAAAAAGTTTTACTTCATTCGTTCAAAAATCGACAACAATATTAGTGCTGCAGAAAGACGCAAGAAGAACAAAGATCAAACCCTTCAGGAAATCAGAGACAAGTGCATTCAAAGTACTTTTTTATTTTCATTTCATAATGATTATATTTACATTCTTATAATGTTGTTTTGTGTTAATGTGTTAATATTTATTCTATGTTTTTGACTCTATAATTTTATTTCTCTGCAGATCTTAAAAAGCAGAACATTAAGTCTCCAGAGGTTTTTCTGGTGTCTGCTCATGAGCGTCATTCATACGACTTCCCTTTGCTTCATGAGACCCTCCAGAAGAACCTGCCCGAGCTCCAAAGAGACGCTCTTCTCTTGGCTCTGCCCAACATCAGCCTGGACGTCATCAACAAGAAGAAAGAAAGAACTACAAAAACAAATTCTGTTAAATGCAGTAATGTCTGCTGCAGGAGCAGCTGTACCAATCCCTGGTTTATCTGCTGCGGTCGATGTCGGGATCATTATGTCATTCACTACACAGTGTCAGAATTCTTTTGGTCTTAGTGCTGCTGCACTACAAAACCTCTCACGTTTGTCTGATGTGCCTCTGGAGGAGTTAATGAAAGGGTTGAAATCTCCATTGGCTGGAAAACAAATAACCAAAGAACTTATAATCAAGGTTCTTAACCTCCTCTGCAGTATACATATTATCAACAGCAGCAGAAGAAGTGATCAGATTCATCCCATTTGTTGGCACAGCAGTAGCAGTGGGTTTGTCTTACACAACAACACTCAAAGCTTCTGAACTACATTCTCAACACTCTGTCTGAGGATGCACAAACTGTTTTCACCAGAGCCTTAAGAGAGTGACTGCAACACAGAAAGTCTCTGAATAAATAAATAAATGTGTGATTTAATATTACTTACAGTTCTTTTTATTATAAGAATTTCTATTTTATTTTGTAGACTTTGCATTTGATTTAGATTTTATATCCTGAAATGTAACATGAATGACTGTGTGATTTCATTTCTGTTAAAGAAGCAGTGATAAACAAACATAATTATCTTATAAAACAGTGGACTCAGTGTAACATGTTCATGATAAACTCATCAGACTCTCAAGTCTTTGTTTTCTGTCTAAACAACAATAAACACATAATAAGAACTTCTCAGGTTTTTCAGTTCAATGTTTGTAGAACTTGTGGCGCTTCACAGAATCAGTTTTTCAGTTTCAAATCATGAACACTCGTACTGATAACAGCTCCTGAAAATGTTTGGTTTAAATCCCTTTTGTAATGGGTGTATTTTTTTATATATAGTTTTCAGACAAAACTCTAAAACTTAAAAAAAATGTTTTGACAGTGTTTGCAAATGCAATATCACTGATGTCGCTGCAAAATATCAATTGTCCATCACAACATTAGATTTAATAGGCTAAATGTTTTTTTTTTTTACATACAGGCTAGAATATAAACTAATTTCAGAGCTACTATTCTCTGTCTATTCAAACCAGAGCTACAGGTGGTAATGTTTTTAATGAGTCTCTGATTTGACTCGTGTGTCCAGTGGTTTTTAGTGTCTAAAACAACATGTATCTCATTGTGTATTAAAAATAAAATCTCTTGTTGGCACATGATCATTTGCTTATTTTTAACCCAACATTACACTGAAGCATTTTTATTTTATTTTTTTGAATCAAAATTATGGTATCAAAATGAGTATTATAATTATAATATTACCTTTACAATCAAGTTATTTGTTTCTTTTTCAGTTACAAGTAACTTAGAAACTTATAACCTTCCTACAATTTTATTCAGAATCACAGAAGTGGAGTGACTTATTTAATCCTGTTCAAACAGCAAAGGACGGTTTAATACATGTAATATATTCAATTTATTTTTTTAAACAACAAAATATATAAATAAGACATTGTAATCTGAACTCTAACCTAAATGTCCAACTTTAACAGATTAAAATAATAAAACAAAACAAACAAAACCTATGATTTAAAACGATAGCAGCCACTTAAATCACATATAAATGTTTTTGTTTCATTCATTGTAATATTCCCTTTACATTCACCTGCAACATTTATAGGCGAGTTTCATTGTTGACAAAAGCGCGTGTTGCATGCTGGGAATTATTTTGGACAGCGGCAAGAAACACTAATTTCAACATGACGGACGGAGCGAGAAAGAACGTAAAGGGTATTGATCCTGGTTATTTATCCACTCTAACGGCAGAGGACCCAAGACCATTTGACCACAAATTGGTCATAAACATCGACGGACGACAAATCATCCTTTTCAACCCCGACAAAAGGTGGACCAAACCAAATTTCTGGTCAGAATCACCAACTACCTGAACAAATATTCACTTGGGTCATATCCACAATGACTTGGTGGAAACTCCTGGGCCATTCACAGCAGAAAAGATGAAAACCTCCAAGTCCTCCAGTCTCGATGTGTTGTTGAACTTGTTGGTTGTAGGCTCCTTTACAAATCCTTCCATTGTACTTTAAAAACACTAATACTGTACGATCCCCACTATAACTTGAACTAGATAAAAGAAGAAAAAATGTATAAAGTTGTTATTTCGTATTAGTCTGTATGTTTAATATTTTGTTTAAAATGTAACGTGTATCTGCATAGACATATTTTTATCACGTTAAATGTGCTCATATCATTTTATTTGAGTCATGTGTTTTTGAGTGCGGTGAGTCGGAGCGGCCTGATGACGTTTCTGTGGCCTGAAGTTTTGAGAAAATGTGACGTCATTACGTTGTTTCTGCCCATGACTTTACATTAGCGCTAAAATCCGTGTTTGTGGCGCAGGGTCGGAGCGACATGAAATCAACTGATTGTTCTGAATAATAAACATGAACACATCTGGACCTGTTATTTTAATAGATCCATGACATGAACACATCTGGACATGTTGTGGTTCAGCCCCGACTCTGCACTGACGTCATGTTACTGCGACAGGCGCTAATGACGAGAACAACAGAGGGTTTGTTGTAAAGTTATGAAGAGTTCGTAAAGTTCATCCGAGGAACAGTTTTAGGGAGTGAGAACAAGAAAAGAAGCATTAAACTGGAATGAGCTGCGGTGAGATACTACGGCTCTGATTCTGATTCGCACACTGGCTAATGGCGGCTAGCGACTTTAGCTTCAACATGTTCAGAGTAAAGCGCGAGGACAGAGCCGCCGCCGGGACCAGGACCCAGGACCCAGGACCCAGGACCCAGGACCCGCTCTCTGCCGGAGCCAGGGACAGTCTCTCGCTGCTCTCTCCGCCTTTACCCGCTTGTTTCTCGGTGTAAAAGTGTCACTGGGCGTAGCTCTTAAGTCCACCTGGTGTCCTGGTGTTCATATGGACTGGTGTAACTTTCAGATTTAAGTGGGAAGTGAGATAAAGACAATTTTACAATCAGTTCGTGCATTCGCCTCTTGGACCTGACTGAACCTGGATTTGGACCAGTTTCATCTCTTTGTTGTGGACAATACACATTTGGAGACAGAACCAGTGGGACAGTGGACAGAGGAAACACTCTGCTTCAAGGTTGTATAGAGGATTTTCCAAGGAATGAGAAATCCAGCGACTGTTTGTCCTTTTTCAAATGTTGCACATGCGTGAAACCACCTCCCCTCCCCTACAGCTCCTTACGTAGAAACGCCTCCTCCCGCCTCCTCTTTACGCCAGAAACAGGGTTGTTTACAGCCGGTGCACATGACTTGTAAACAACTAACTACAGTGTTGGTTAGGCAAGACGGAGAAGTGAGGAGCAGAGGGAAGAGTGGATCGGGCAGCGGGGAGAGGAGCAGGAAAGGGGTGCAGAGAAGAGTGCGCGGAGATTCCGTGCGAATGAACTAGCTACAACACGCAGCAGCAAGCGGACTCTTTCTTTGCCTTGAAAATTACGTTTTCAGACATAGGATATCGCTTTCGTGTCCTGAAAAACTTTTGTCTAACTCTTGGAAATAAAGTACGTTTTCATAATAAGCAGAAGTTTCCTGTCCAGGAGTAATTTGTGGACCAGTGCGTCAGTCTTTAGACCCTTCGTCTGCTTCAGTCGCGCCATCGCTGGAATGAATCTCCAAGAATCACCTTAGTTTGACTTTGCTGCTTTTCCCCTTGTCTTCTTCTTTCAGCGACCTCAAAAACGGACTTTCTTTTGTGGCGAACTGCTCCTGGATTCTTGTCGCCATCGCAACAAACTTTGTGCGAACTGCGAGGAAGATATAGGTCAAAAAAAGCCGCTAAGAACTGTTGCGTTGGTGGAGTAAACAGCGTCTGTGCGTCTTGCGTCTGTGGACTGCGTGACAGTCGTACGTAAACCACGTACCGGCGGCGCAGACAAGTCAGTTACGCTAGAAACGTAGGGAGTTTGATTGACAGCCTGTCAGCTCACAGATAACGAGGCAGTGTCGTTATCTATTGGCAAATGTTTAGCCCCACCACGTCCAGAGTTGATGAATTTTTATTCTCTTTTTTTTGGTCATCATAATTACAAGGCTACTGCATCTCTATAATCTATCATTGACAATTTGAAACAAAAAAAATCCTCCATACAACCTTTCAGTCTCTGGAGAAGGTAAGAGGTTTGTTTATTAGTTTGGGGCAAATCTGAAGATGGAGTCTCAGAGGTAATGTGGGCTTCTAACCTGTGTTTTTAAAGTTTCATTCATATGTTAATTTGCCCTGTACTGAATCTCTGTGTTCCTTGACATGCTGTGTATGTTTTTGGACTTTGGAGTGTCAGTGGGGTTGGGATATGATGTCATATGGATGGTGAATGTATATGGGACAGATAAGGGGTGTGTCTCCAACCTTTAGCATATGCCAGTCTGTTATGGGACACGTGTTGGGACAAAACCGCTGTGTAAGTTTCCATGAAGATGTTAACTCAACAGTTATGCTGGTATAAAAGGCACCCAGTTTTTCTGTGCATCAGTGGGGGAACGCCAACTGCGTTGTCGAGGGACGACCGACGCACAGAGAGACGCCGTGTAGGCAAAATCATGCTGAATCAACTTGAATCTTGAGACCTGAATCTGCCTGAATTAATAAAGAGACATGTATGAGAATTAGAACCCACCACAGCACTGAGACTGCTCTTATCATGGTGACAAATGACATCCGCCTGAACACTGATGCAGGCAAAGTCTCAGTCTTGATTCTGTTAGATCTGAGTGCTGCTTTTGACACTGTCGATCATGGGATCCTCTTACAGAGACTAGAGGACTGGGTGGGCATCTCTGGTACTGTACTAAACTGGTTCAAGTCCTATCTAGAAGACAGGAAGTATTTTTGTTGAAATTGGAAACTGTGTCTCAGATGACATGGCCCTGACCTGTGGGGTGCCTCAGGGGGTCAATCCTGGGCCCCCTGTTGTTCAATCTCTACATGCTGCCATTAGGCCAGTTAATAAGCAGCAATAACGTGTCGTACCACAATTATGCAGACGACACTCAGATCTACGTCTCTCTGGCAGCAGGAGACTATGGACCAGTGGAGTCACTTGGTCACTGCATCCAACAGATCAGTGTGTGGATGCAAAACAACTTTCTCCAGCTAAACTCTGACAAGACTGAAGTCATAGTGTTTGGTCCACAGAAACAAAGGGACAGTGTCAGCAGTCACCTCCAGTCTCTCTCTCTAAAACCTTCAAATCAGGCAAGAAATCTAGGGGTAATAATGGACTCAGACTTGAACTTTAACAGCCACATCAAGTCAATAACATCTGCAGCCTTTTACCATCTAAAAAACATAGCAAAAATCAAAGGTTTACTGTCTAAATCAGACTTGGAGAAACTTATCCATGTGTTTGTCTCCAGTAGGTTAGATACTGTAATGTTCTGCTCACTGGTCTCTCCAAACGAGCTGTGAGACGCTGCAGAAATCCATCCAGAACATCCAGAACATCCAGAACGCTGCAGCTCGGGTCCTTACTCGAACTAGGAAGTACGAGCACATAAGTCCTGTGCTCAGGTCTCTGCTCTGGCTCCTGTGCCTCAGAGAATAAACTTTAAAGCAGCTCTGTTTGTACAAGTGTCTCCATGTCCGAGCACCAAAGTCCATCTGTGACATGTTAGTGTCATATGAACATCTCACACTCTGAGGAGCTCAGGGACCGGCCTCCTGCTGGTGCCCAGAGTCACGACT